AAAACAAAACGGGTTTTAGTGTATCTTGTAATATATTCATGAACCTCACTATGTAAACTCCTAACCTGAGATGTTGATCTTTTAGAAAGCCCGGCTATTGAATACCACAACTCACAACTTTATCTCTGGCCTAATAACAAAAGAAAAAAAAAACCAACATCATTTTTTAGAAAATATATTTTCAACTTCAGAAAACAAAGGAATCTTTCACATAATGATAACAGATTATAAAAACAACTTATATGAAAACAGCTTTAGCACATTTAAGTTCCTTAAATTCAAACCAAAATGAAGAATCAAACCGAATATACGAGAAGAAACACAAATTCAAACCTTAAAATCAAATTCTTTGATGAAAAGTATGTCAATCAAACCCTTGAAGTTATTTCCTGAAGCGATCTCTTGAAATTTTGTGAAATAAAACAATACGAATCGATATGGTGATTACCGAATCGAAATGAAGAGCGCAGTAGCAAGCTTAAACCACAATACGATCTTCAAACCCTTAGTGATTCAAACAGAAATTCAATCTCTAAATCCCTCGTATATCAGTTCGGTTCACAAATTTCTCACTTGATTTTTCATATCTCAGCATAAACAAACTCGCAAGATAAACTAATACAACAATAAATTTGCATAATAGTAACAAGCAACACACACATACTCAGAGCAATTTAACAACGAGCAACAACAACATAGTTATAACGAAAATCAGAAACAAAAACCGAGTTACCTACGACGAGGAGATTTCCGCCGGATATTATTGAGGTATGTGTCTTCGATCTCCTCTCTCTTCTTCTACAAGAACAACAATTGAGTTAAGCTATAGGGCACAAGGATTATTTTGAGAGAGATGTTTTGAGAAATAGAGATTCAAGAGTTATAGAGAAAGATGTTTTGAGAGAATATGGAAAAAATTTGAGTTTTAGGGTTTTCATATTTTTAATTTAGAAATTAATGACCTTAGGCAACGCTTTTTTGAAGCGTTTTCTGATGTATTTCTTTTAGCAGCGCTTTTTCATTAAAAAGCGCTTTCTGATGTATGCTCTATAGTATCGCTTATATGAAGCTCTTTCTAAACACATCCTTTAGCAGCGCTTTGTGGGTATGTATGGCCTTAAACAACACTTCTTAGCAGCGTTTTCTAAAGTATTTCTTTAGCAGCGTTTTTTCTCAAATTTCTTTTAAAGCTATAGCAACGCTTTTAGAAGAAAGTGTTGTCTATAATGTACTTTCTAAAACAAATTTTGTAATAGAAAGTGGTGTCTAAAGTGTGGTTTTAGCAACGCTTTCTCTTGTTGGGCCTATAGCAATGCTCTCTGTAGTGAACCTAAGGCAACGCTTTTTCTTAACTTTAGACAACATTTTTTTATAAAACGTTGTCTAATGTATATAGTTTTATTATAATATAATCAATAATTATTAACTTTAAAAAAATGTCCATTATAATTTAAATAAGATCAAATTTAACCGTATATTCCCAAAAGTTTTATTATAATACAAACATTAATTCAAGATAGTAGCCGGTTGAATTCACCCATTAAATCAAATCCATATAGTAACTAAAATGTCTAACATTATTATTTAATAAAATTTAATACTTTAAAGTATATGAGTCTAACTATTAAAATATGATAAAAGACACAACTTTTTGAAAGTTTAATAAGTTTAATGCTTAATACAAGCTTACAAAATACATCTATATTAAAACAATCCTCAAGTTTGTCTTGTTATATTCATCATCATGTTTCATTCTCTAGAATTTCATCACCACCATTGTCCTTTTGAAGTTCATCATTTAGGTCATCCTCTTGAAATAATTATTCATCTTAATTATTCATCTACATCAACATTTTCATCTTCTTCGTTGATATTTTTCTATAAAAAAATACACAAACCATAGTTAGTGTTGGTTCAAAGGACAATTAGAAAATTATCAAGAGTTAAATCCAACTTAAATAAACCAAGACTGCAACAATATTTTTTCTTACACAATCATTTTTTTTGGTGTAAATATAAAATAACTATATTCAATTCAACACAAATAACGCTTTAAGTTACTCATTGCATATATATTATGATCCATCAAATACCAAATAACATTTTAAATTACCAAATCCTATTGTTTCCAAATATCATAACATATAGAATATTAAGAGGGCGTTTGCATAGCCAAATTTGTAGATGCCCATCTATGAGTACTTCAATCCAAATCCAAAAACATACAATCAAATTCTCTAAACAAAACACCAAAAAAATAAGAAAGGATAACAAAACAATCCCATGTAGTAACCACCTTCATGATCCAAAAGCGTTGAACTCATAGATACAATCACTAATTAGGCAAAATAATTGCTTCTTGTTTTCCTGTATCATAGAAGGAATATTGATTATGTATCGTACAATAAAAACTAATTCAACATATAAAGAATAATCAAACATTTAATATGGGTCTAACAAGAAGCGCATAAAATAAGGAATGATTATTATAAACTAATAACAATAAATCGATATAACTAATGCAATAAATTTTTACAGAACAATATCTCAATACGAGCCAACTAAGCTTTTATGTATCCTCCTTGACATTTTGTCCATATCTTACCTTTTTATCTCTCCTAACCCAAACAATAGATCTATGTACGAACACAAACAATTACAAAAAATAGGAGCCAATGACACAACCAAATTTGTTATACAATGTCAAATATGATGTTTAAAATTGGATGTTTAAATAAGCTATATTATTTAAACTAATAGTAGCTTAAGGCGAAAAGGAACAAAACTTGAAGTAAATCTAAAATGAGCTGTATAACTTTCATACCTCCACTTTTCCTATTATTAATTTCTCACTCTATATATATCTCGTTAGATAATCTTTATCTTTTTAACTTATGCACAAACAAACCCCCGAAAAGGTTGGTGTAATTTCTAGGATGCAATGCATAACACGCCAAACAGTGTACAATATCTAACTCTAAAACTTTCAGCTAATGAAGAGGGTTCATATCAAAGGAAGTCTAACACCTTGATTTTCATGATGTTGAGTCCTTTATATAAATAGATTAGTCGACATACAAAAGAAAAGAACGAGTAAATCTGTAATCTAGTCAATTTAAAAATCAAAAGATGCGCGAATGAGTAGTGTTAGCAAAAAGCAATAAAATTAACACAAAATAGAAGTAATCAGTGCACTAATACTAGTTAATAATCCTAGATCACAAAAACAATGAAGTCGATGAACAAAAGAAAAAGGGTTCAAAATTACAAACCAAGTACAAGAAGCCCTTATATCAGTGATGCACAAGGGAAAGGCTGCATATGAGCACAATAGCATAGACAGCACAATCCATGAAGACAGCATCAACCACAGTCTTCAGCACCATTCCAATTTCCAATGTTTTTGCAAGCTGTGCATATTGATCAGAAGAATCAGCGCTGGCGCTGTTCCGTCTCCTCCTCAACCTTTCATCAGAGCCTCTTTGTTTCCCAGAAATAATTTTCGCAACAACAAAAGACGAATTTGTGAGGAGAACCAAGTAAAGTGGTCTAAAGCTTATAATAGTCTTAATCAAAGAGAATCCTAGACAAGAGGCAACAACCAATAAGGCAACTATAATCGAACAACAAAGACGCGTAAACCTTGAGGCATCAACGGCATTCGTCACATCCCTAGGGCTTATGAAATCGAAACTTCTAGGTTCTTCGAGCTGGGAAATTTCATCAGATGAATCTTGATGTGTTGTTGGTGGTTGAGGTTGAAATAGAGGTTGTGATTCTTGTACATGTTCAGGTTCAATTTCAGAATTGGGGAAACTTAAAATCTCACTTTCACTGTGTTGTTTTTCAGGCAAAATTTCGGCATCAACGTGATTCTGCAAAACGGAATTCGGATACTCCTGCTCCTCGTCGTTGGCGTGAGGCAGATCTGAAGAAAAGCAGTTGTAAAATCAAAATTGAATTCTAGGGTTTGTAGATGGATGATTACAGAAGCAATAAGAAGAGAGAAAATTGAAATGAAAGAGAAGAGAAGAGGTAGTTACCGGGAGGAGGGAGGGTTTGGATCCGACCCTGGATGAAGGCAAGACGGTCGGATCCTTGTTGGAGGATTCTTCTTCTTCTCCGGGCGTCTCTCAGGTTGTTTGCTTCTGTCATTTTTTTCCCCTTCCTCTTTACTTCAGCTCAGGCTTTGTATTGCCAACTGACTCAAAGAAGTTTAATAATAGCGTTCTGGTACAAAGTGCTATCAAAATTACATAGTCTGTATTATATAATAGCGCCCGATTAAAAAGTGCTATTATAAATGTGTTTTTTCCATTTTAATAGCATTTTTTTTAAAAGTGCTATTAAATTAGGTGATACAAAAAATCATTTTTGGCGTAGTGAGAACTGCATACAAGAAAATTAGGAAAAAATACATTACAATTTTTCATTCCTAATTCCATCACTATCCGGTGGTGAGCTGTGGATAAATATCTTACATTAGACTCTAAGATATGGATTTACCACCAAGATCCTTGACCAATTCAATATTCTATCAATTCAGCAGACGACTAATGAACAATGATGAATCCATTAAAGAAAATGATATTTGAATAATTAACTATCATGAGCTGAAGTTTCAGATCAAATTAATTCAAATAAATTGTTGAGGTCTTCTTTTTTATTGGCCTCTGTAACTAGCATTAATTACAATTAAAATGTTAAAATCAACAAAAGACCAATATATTGATCTAATTATGTTTATGTACTTATCACTTATGAGATGCTCTGTTTGATTTTTGTCATAAAAATAAATAATATGATGTTAGTTTTTACTTAAAAAAATATTTGTCGAATTGAACATATGATCAGAACCAATTCAACTAGTCCAAAAATTTAAAATAAAACTTTGAAAAGTTAACAATTGTGGCTCAACAGAACAAATAATATGCTGTAAATTGAAAGTATACCTGAACAAAGTTACTGTAAAGAGGCTAGAACTCAGAAAAACCAGAATCCTAATTGCACTTGAACTCCAGAGGAATCTTTGCCTATCCAAATAACACAACAACAATCAGTAATCCAATATCAAGAAAAAGAAACAACAACTGCTGAGCCACAAAAACCTACAGACTTTACTGAATTCATGACATATCAAGACAATTTTAACAAACTAACACATGCAATCTTGGCATAACAATAAACAACTATAGAGACATAAAAACTACTTCTGTTTTGTTACAGCAACAACAAATGGTTGTAAAACAAAACCACAGTTCCAAGGAAGAAGATTGATATACAAATACAAATTCAACATATGCAATCAAGTAACCAACACACATGTAGAATCTTAACTCATTGACTGAAGAAAATGCATGACTTACCAGCATCTATATTTAAGTTATAAATAACTAGTAAGATTTTTGTATTCCAGAACCTAGTAATATCTTTTGGATTTCTTGAGTTAATGACGGTATCCCTGTTTGATACATGTCATTATTCTTGCAAACTCCAAATACCAAAAACCAATTATCTTCCTCAAAACAAGAACAGTAGCAATAAAAACAAGAATGAAACTAAAACGAGAACCCCAAATATTCAATAACTAATAACTAGACCATAAAAGTTTAAACTATTATGTACCTCAAATGAAAACCCCAAAACTCTGCTCCGGTTCAAGATGAGTGTAAAGACCTTGAGACTCAAATACTCTAAAAACAGAATCAATTGATGAAGGGTTTGCGATTGACGGCAAATTCCAAAAACAAAACGATTTGCAGATGAATCAATTGAGAAGGGTTTGTTGGGTTTTCCGGGATTTCTGAGTACGCAGAAAGGGTTTGAGATGGGTGAATCCACTGTTCAAATTTTCGTGAGTTTCTGATTTGGTGTTTGAGATTTAGGGAATGAATGTTGAGTTTCTCCTTGTATAGCTAAAATCTATTGACTTAAACACTATTTTTTTTTAAGTAAACTAAAAAAATAGTGTGAAATAAAATGTTTGGAGAAATAAAAATAATATATGAGTAAAAAAATATTATAAGATTGTAGAAAGAAAAAAAGTGTAAACGAAATTTTTTTGGGGAAACAAAAATAATTTCCTAATAAATAATATTATAGGATTGTAGCCTAAAAAATTTAATATGACAACGTTAATATTGTAACCTTTTATTTAAAAAATAATACAACCATTAAAAATTGTTCACACAAAAATTTTAGGATGGATACGTTGTTGCAAAAAGGTTGTTGGCATCCAGCATAAAATGTTACCGGAAAATAAATTTAGACAACATGTTTTAGATGTTGCCTAAAAAATAAATAGTGTAGTATCTTTTTCTCATTTGAAGAGTGTTTAAGATATTAATAATATCTCATAAATTAATAAATATGTTTTAAGATTATAATTATTATTGTCAAAAGACTTTTATCTTATTAATTCAAATATTCGTTAAATCATATCTCTCATATAAAACACACACATATATATATATATATATATATATATATATATATATATATATATATATATATATATATATATATATATATATATATGATACATGTCTATAATTAATTGTTATAGAATTAATTCTAACACTTTTGTCTCTGAAACAATTTCCTCTTTGGAGTCAATCGGTATCATTGTCGGTTTATTGTCGGTAGTAATTTAGTGTTAAGTTATTTTAATTTAAAGCATTTTTGTTAAAGGAGGGGGTTAAATTCTGTGTTGGCTAGTTGATTATTGTCTAGGTGCAATGATAGTATTTTTGTCTCTGTGATTGGTAGGGGTGTACAAAAAAACTGGTTACTGATAACCAAATTCATATTCAAATTATTTCATTTATTAAAATCCAATCCAAATATTAAATATTGGATTTTATGGTCCATCTATGATCAAAGTGGTAAATCGGTACTCATGAAATGGTTATTGGGTATCCAAATTTCTTTCTCATCAAATTTTTCTGCTTTCCAATTTTCACACTTTCTCAAGAAAACAAGCACTACACATTTTCATAAAAATTGAATGATGTTTAACACTTTATTTCAAATGATTAATTATTAAATAAATATAAAAATGTTTAATTATAGTTAAAAAATATACAAACACTCTCAAATAAATTGAAATATATAGTATACTAAACATTTAAAAAGCAAGATATATTATTATCACTGTAGAAGACAAATTTAAACTTGAAAGAAATTTGTTTGAACTTGATCTCTTTTCATTCAATATACATATACTTTATATAAGAAAACGAATGTGTATAGTGAATTAATTAATACTATCTCATTATTAATTGATTTTTCTTTTAGGATTGATAAAACAAAAAAGATCATTTAAATATAAAAAGATTTCAAAAAATGTTTTGTGTGAGAACGACTGCGACAAAATATTTTGGACATATGTCGATATTGATACTTTGATATCTGTTTTATATTAAAAAACAAATTATAATTAATAATTTACACTGCGACGAACACAATCAATATCGTAACACCTCTATCGATCAAAATTGCAAAAATTGTAATACGACCGCAACAATTTTTTAAAATCTGCTTAAAATTAAATTAAAGATGTACTTTATTAATGTTTAAAAAAATTAGTACTGAATTAATTTTAAAATTTTATTAATTAAAATGAATTGAATATACATTAAATTATATTTAAATAATTTGGATTAAAATTAAAACTGGTTTCAAACCAGTTTTAATCCGATTTGAAACTAATTATGTTTTTTAAATCAGCTTTTGTGATTAATTATTTGATTTGTAAACCATAACCATAAAAGTGGGTTGAATCACAATATATAATAACCATGCACACTCCTAGTGATTGGTGCTGTTTGATTTGTAGTTTGGAGTATAACGAGTGACTGTAACAAGAGATTAGTTGAAGTATGGTGATCTGTGGCATATCTTATGCCTTTTGTTTCAATATAACTATTTTGATCTTTTAAAAAAACATGAAAATTGATTATATTATCTACAAACCGTGAGGGGATGACGGTGGTGATCTACAGCCTAGTTGAAGTTTAAACAGGCAGACATGGATTGGTCACACGCGCGTTTGGATTTTTTCATAGATGACGAAATTTTCAACATCAGTGTGACAGCCATAAAATTTACTAACTAACTAAATAATGTATTCCCAAATTGGTCTGCTAACTAAAATTTAATTTGCACCTTCTCCCCCTTTACCCTTAGCATACACTACGCGCATTTCCAAAGTCTAATCATTCCTTTTTCCAGCATACACACCAGTCAACAAATCTCAAACTGACACATGCACATGCCAATTTTATTTCAATTTATAGAGTCCAAAACAATACAACAATATGCACTTTCACGATACTACTATTCTAATCCAATATTATTATTCCATTGACTATATGCTTCCATAACTATCATTCCCCTATTTATATATAAACACTCCTTCCTTCTCCTTCCCACACTCAAAACCAAACTACAAACGCACCCTTTTTTCTCTCTTCAACACTATTCATTCCAACAATATCAAATTAGGGTTTCGTGATGGGAAATTACGTTTCATGCACCTTAGCACCACCGTCGACGAGGAACACGAAAGCAACTAGGGTAATTCTTCCAACAGGAGAAGTGAAACAATTCAAGGAAATAATGAAAGCAGCGGAACTTATGTTAGAGAATCCAAATTATTTCTTAGTCAACTCTCGTTCTCTTTATATTTCTACAAGATTCTCTCCTCTCGCAGCAGACCAAGAATTGGAATTTGGAAGTGTTTACATATTTTTTCCTATGAGAAGACTCAACTCTGTCGTTACGGGGGCTGACATGGCGGTGCTCTTTCTGGCGGCAAATTCTGCGGCAAAACGGTTACGTGCCGGAAAGACACGTGTCCAACCGGATGTGAGTTCGGGTGGTGGTATTGAGAATGATGATCAAAACGGCAGTGTTGCGAGGTTGAGTTTGGAAGGAGTGGAATCAGGATTTAGTTATAGATTAAGTTATTGTAGATCGAGGAAACCTTTTTTGGACACTATAAATGAAGAACCAATTACCTTAAGATGAAGGAATTAATCCAGGGCGTCCTCTTCTACACAATGAAATTGGCAGCACTAGGAGGAACGAAAATCACGCGCCAAAAAACAACTGAAAATGAGAGATTGGTTGCTAAGCAAAATGGTCGTTTGGCAGAGGCAATGTGACAAAAGATTTTAATTTTATTAAATCTTGCATCTGCTTTCTATAATTCTGCGCTATTAAATTTCAATCATTTTGCTAGGTTGTTGGGCAGAGAGGCAGAGTACTGAGGGAGAACAAATTTAGTGTTATATGGTATATACCAGTATATGGATTTTGTGGAAAAGGGTCCCAGTGAAAAGATTTTCAGAAACATAGAGTGATCGTATGAATGGCCAGAAGAAATAATTATGTTGGGCTTGGAAATTATAAGATGAATGGCTAGAAGAAATAAAATTGTTGGTTTGGAAATTATAAGAGATCATTTGTACCTTCAGCGTACAAGATGATGTTGTGTACCTTACTTAATCCCATGTACACCTTCAGCGTACAAGATGATGTTGTGTACCTTACTTAATCCCATGTACACCTTCAGCGTACAAGATGATGTTGTGTACCTTACTTAATCCCATGTACACTTTAGTTTATGAACTGAATAATTAACTTATAGAGTTAGTAGTTGTTACAACCTGCTATAATATGTCTTTTATCAAGCATTATAAATGCAGCCTTATAATTGTTTTTGAAGTAATGAAAAATAATTAATTAAAGTTGCAAATCAAATTTAAGAGACATATGATATATAAATAGAAAAAAGAGTACTATAGCCACTGAATAAAAAACCAGCAAAGACACGAGAAGTGACAATGCCAGGATCAAAAGTTAAAAATCAATTACCAAATACAAGAAAAACTAGCCACTAAGAAGAAAAACAACCAAACAAAAACAACCACAGAAACAATTAGAAAAACCAGCATCAGATAAGGATAGATTTCTCCTCTCTAGAACACCTAAAAAAAACAACAAAATCACAAAAGACAAAAACAAAACACATTCTATAGAGGTTGAAACCACTCACCTTTCTATTGACTAAGAAACATGATAGGGTTTCCTCGTCAGGCCGTGTAACCACAAGTTACTGAGGGACTTATGAAGATTCAATTTCCAAGCCAAATTTATTATATCATTTTCCCTAAAAAGTGATATTAGCTGGGGGGGGTAATAGTGAGGTGTTATACCCCTCATTAAAATCAAACGTTGTTTAGAGATATACCCCTCACAAACAACAAATCAGAAAACAAAATAAATAAAAAATGATGTGGAGATACCCGTCACTATATTTGAAGAAGGAATTTCGAATTTTGAAAATTTCACCCGCTTTACATTTAACGAAAGGTAAAACGGTTGGAAATCCACTAAATATCTATGATGAATTTCTACCAATCTTGATGAACAAGATTGATATCACCACACAATGACAATGAATTATGAGAAAAGAAAATAAAGAAGACAATTATTTTCTGCAGAGTTTCTCTCTGCCCACAAAATGTGGAAAACTTTATTACTCACTTGCAACTGCAAATTCTGTGATTACAATGAATTGACTTAATTACAAAATTAGGGGTTACTTCCTCTATTTATAGATTTAGGTTAGCTTGCTCCCTAAGCCAAAACCCAAAACTATAAAAGCCCAAAATACCTATTTTAGTACTAAATCAAATCTATCTATTTTAGATCTAAATCAAATTTATCTAAATCTAAAACCAATCAAATTCGTGTGTAGTTTGCTTCGATCCACAAGCTTTTCAACCGAGCAACCTCCCTTCAACACACACACACACTGTTTCGACACAATTGAATTACAATTTAACACACCATCTAATTCATTGTGTCTAAACTATCTATATTCATCATGGTTCTTAGTCTTCTGAATACTTCGACATGCACTCCCTTCGTCATGATATCTGCAATCTGATTCTCAGTTCTGCAGTGTTTCAAATTCATCTTCCCATCTGCTACCTGCTTTTGAAGATAGTGGAACCTCATTTCGATGTGCTTGCTTCGACCATGTGCTATCGAGTTCTTCACCAGATTGATAGCTGACATGTTGTCGATCTTCATGGTAATTGCTCCATGACCTTTCCCTGTTATCTTTTCGACCAAGTTCACCATTCAAGTTGCTTGACATACACAAAGAGAAGCAGCTATGTATTCTTCTTCGCGTGATGATAATGCAACTACTGGTTCCTTTCTTGAACTCCAAGCAACTGGTGCGCCACCTAACATAAACACATATCTTGCTGTTGATTTTAGATCTTCAGCATCACTACACGAACTCGAATCAGTGTATTCCACTAACTTGAATTCTTTTCCTTTATCACTTGCAGGAAAAAATGTCATAATCGAGAGTTCCTTTGAGATACTTTAGTATCCTCTTCACCGCTTCTAGATGTGATATCTTTGCCTTCTACATGAATCTACTTACCATACCTAAACTATATACTAAGTCAGGCCTTGTATGACAAAGGTATCTCAATGACCCAATAAGTCTTCTGTATTGGGTTGGGTCGACATCATCTTCATCTGCATCTTTCGACAGTTGCAGTCTTGGTTTTGCAAGTGTCGAAGTTGAGTTGCATTCTTCCATCTAAAATCTCTTGAGAATTTCTCCTGCATATCTTCTTTGATGCATCATCAAACCTCTACTGCTCTTGTAAATTTTGATGTCAGGGAAATATGAAATCTCACCCAGATCAAACATTTCGAATTCCTTATTGAGATCACCTTTGAAGTCTTAGATCTCACTTTTGCAGCTACGTATTATCAACAAATCATCGATATAGAGACATGGTATAAGAAATTCACTATTGCTTCTTCTTACATATAGTCCATGTTCAATTGTGCACTTCACAAATTTCTTCTCCCTTAGGAAACTATCAATTTTCTTATTCCAAGCTCTTAGAGCTTGTTTCAATCCATACAGGGCTTTATGCAGCCTGTACACCTTTCTCTCTTCGTCATGTTTCACAAACCCAACTGGTTGTTTAACATAAACTTCTTTGTCTAAGGGTCCATTCAGGAATTCACACTTCACTTCCATCTTACATATATGCCATCTATTTATTTCTGCTACACAACCAACCAACCTGATTGTTTCGATCCTAGCAACAGGTGCAAAAACGTCATCGAAGTTTATTCCTTCTTTCTATAGAAATCCTTTCGTCACAAGCCTTGCTTTGTGTCGAATTACTTCCCCTTTGGAATTCATTTTCACTTTGTATACTCACTTGACATAAATTTCCTTCTTGCCTTGAGGAAATTCGATAAGTGACCAAGTGTTGTTACCTTCAATAGACTTCACTTCTTCGTTCATTACTTTCACCCACTTCGAATCCTTAAATGCTTCAGCTGCATTGACAGGTTCGACATCTGCATAGAAAGCATAATGTACCAACTCACCTTCATTATCTATCACATCATTTTATGTAATCACACAATCTTACAATCTTGCAGGCATGTGTCTTGTTCTTTGAGGCCTACTTGTACTTGGTTGATCTATAACTGTTGGTTCCTCTTGTCGAAATTCTCTTTCGACTTAAGTTTCTGGTTCTTCAAGTAGGATTCCCACTTAATCTTTCTTGACATTTTCAGTCCAATCCCATTATTTAAGCTCATCTATGATCACCTCCCTGCTGATCATAATCTGCTTATTCACTAGGTTGAATAACTTGTAACCTCCTGTCAAATGATATCCAACTAGAATCATTTGACTCGACTTATCATCAAGTTTTCTTCTCAACTGATTTGGTACGTGTCTATGTGCAATAGATCCAAATAACTTCATATGACTCAAGCTAGGCTTCATACCATACCAACATTCTTCTGGAGTAATTCCTTCTAGCTTCTTCGTAGGACATCTGTTCAAAATGTATGTTGCAGTCGACACAACTTCACCCCAAAACTCTTTAGGTAAATTCTTGCCTTTCAACATACTTGCCACCATATTCATGATGGTTCGATTCTTCCTTTTTGCAGTTCCATTATGATGTGGAGTATAGGGTGGCACCACCTCATGCATAATCCCTTCCTTTTCACATAATATGTCGAAGTCTTTCGACACATACTCTCCACCACCATCAGTTCTCAAAACTTTGAGTTTTTGACCACTTTGTCTTTCGACCATAGACTTAAACTTGGCAAATACCTTGATCACTTCACTTTTCTTCTTGATCAGGTAAGTCCACAGATTTCGACTGAAATCATATATGAATGTAACAAAGTATTTGTTACCTCCCATCGAATCCACCTAGATTGGTCCACATACATCAGAGTATATAACTTCAAGAATAACCTTCAACCTACTTCCTGCATCCTTGCTGAAGCTATTCTTATGCTGCTTCGTCTGCTCACATTCCTAACATGCCTCGTTTGGAATGTCGATTTCTGGAAATCCTGATACCATATTTATTCTCTTCAAATATCGGATGTCTCTGAAGTTGAGATGGCCTAGTCGATAATGCCATATCCATTCATCTCTGCTAGCTGCAGTCGAAAGGCACTTGTGCTCCATCACATTTAGTTCGACCTTGAAGGTTCTATTCTGAGACATAGGAGACTTCAAGATTAATCTTCCATTTGCTTCGATGACTCTCATCATCTTATCTTTGATCGACACTTTATAATTCTTTTCGATCAACTTCCCTATACTGAGCAAATTGCTCTTCATGTCTGGTATGTACAACACATTGGAAATTACTGACCTCTTACCATCTTTCATCATAATCATAACATCACCAATACCATCAGCTGCTAGGGTATTGTCATTTGCAAATTTTACCATATTTTTCATTGAGGGCTTTATGTTAATAAACCAGTCTTTCCTTCCAGATATATGTGATGAGCATCCTGAATCCAAGTACCATTGGTCCTTGAGTCTATCTTCATCTCTTGTTGTGACCATCAGCATCATCTCTTTTTCTTCATGTTTTGCAAACTTTGCATCACTTTTTTTATTCTTTCGCCTTTCTGGACAACCACTCGAATAGTGA